AAAGAGTTGGTGATAAGAATAATGAACGAAGAAAAATGGGTGATAATATGACTGGACAGTATGATGGAGAAAAGAAGAAAATAGAAAAACAACTATCGAAACATTTATTATATAATCAGAACGAGAATATATAAGTAAACAAGAAAAAATATATGAGAAAATGGAATAAAAGAAGAACCATGATAAAGATGAAGAGAAAAAGAGACGAAAAAGGAGTAAATTAAATTAGGAGGCGAAAAAAGAAATAAAAGATCATTTGCAAAACAAAAAAAGAAAAGAAAAGAAAAGAAACAGCACCAGAAGATGATAAAATATATAAAAAAGAGTTCAATCATTGCCTAACGTCATAATGAAATAAAAATAAAGTTGGAGGAAGTTTAAGAAAAAATAAACACAGCCGAAATAAAAAGAGAGACAGACATAAAATAAAATATAAGTAAAATATATTAATATATGTAACATCCAATACAGTTGTAAGGCGTATATATATGAAAAAACACCGAAAAACTTACAGACATGATGGAAAAGAAACAAACTAAAGTAAAATCGAAAGAAAAGACAAAAACTGTTTAAATAAAACCATGCATTCTGCACTCAAAACATCTTTGGCCAAATGAGCAGAAAATACAAAAACAATTTAAGTGAAAAGTAGAAATCTAATCACAAATTATTTACACAGGAGTCACCCATTAAAAGCTGTTTTATAGTACAAAGTACTTAAGCATCTTTACGCGAGTTTTATGAAAGCAAAAACAGTAAATATGTTACCATCGAGGCAGCCCAGTAATTTTCCAAATTTTTTATCGTTGTGAAACTTGCCAATTTTCTTGTATTGCTATATACCTATTGTCTGTCTCATATTTCCAGTGAAAGTTATTGAAATTAAAAGAAAATGCTGGTCAAAATCGAATTTGCACCTTCCTAATTAATTTTTGAGTTGAACTAAAGCGATCGGTTATTGAAGTCGACAAACCTTTTCGAGATGCAACATTTTTCATTTTAAAATATCAGGTCATCCCATAAGTTCTGTCCGAATTTTGAATAAAGAAAACAAGTGACCAAATGTTACATTTAATTACAGATTCAATCAACAATGTATTTTCCCTGATTATCTATGTCTTTCTTCCATCTATTAACAAGATTACTAATTCCATTACTGTAAAATTCTTTTGGCTTTGATTCGAAGAACTCACAAATGTCAGTTTTAGCCTCTTCCTGTGTTACAAAAGCTGTTTCTTCAAAATGATTCTGTAATGTACGAAACAAATGGTAGTCCGAAGGAGCAAGATCGGGAGAATAAGGTGGATGAGGAATTTTCTCCTAACCAAGTTCTTCGATCTTTTGTGACGTGATTCTTGCTGTGTGGGGTCGCGCATTGTCCTGATGAAACATCACCTCTTTTCGATTCACTAGAGCAGGTATTTTTTTCCTCAAAGCTTGGTTCAAACGCTCTAATTGCTGACAGTATATTTGAGCATTAATTGTTTTATTAGGTGGTAAGAATTCAAAGTGGATTATTCCTTGGTGATCCCACCAGATTGAAAGAAGAATCTTTTGCCCATGAAGTTCCCTTCTCGGCTGTAGCTGGGGTCCTTCCTCTTCCCCAAGCCACTGTCTACGACGCTTAGCATTTCGATAAAACATCCATTATTCGTCGCCAGTCACAAGTCTATCCAAAAAAGGTGAAACAAGTTGGCGAGAATGGAGAGAAGAGCAGATGTCAACTCGGAATTTGTGTTTGTTTTCAGACAATTCACGAGGCACCCATTTTCCAAGTTTAAGAACATTTCCAAGTTGTTGAAGATGACGATGAACAGTTGTATGGTTTGAACTGAGAACCACTGCCAATTCCTCACCTGATAAAGCAGTATTTTCTTCAAGGGTTGCTTCAAGAAGCTTTTCATCAAACTCAACTGGACGTCCGGTTCCATCTTCATCTTCAAGGGTGAAATCTCCACGCCTGAATTTTGCAAACCAACTTCTGCATGTTCTTTCATTCACACATTCCTCTCCATAAACTGAGTGAATGTTTCTAGCCGCTTCGGCTGCTGAGTTTCCTTACTTGAACTCATAAAGCATTATGTGCTCAAAGGATTCTTGGGTACTTCCATGTTAGCAGGGTTTTAATCAAACAAAATTTAATTTTATTGTTCTCTGAAATAAAATTTGATAAGTTTAAGTGCATCTAAACATAAAAATAATGTTCAGCTCCATTAGACATTATAAAACACTCTTTAAATTTCGTTCGTTTTAACAAAAAGTTAAAATTCGGACAGAACTTATGGGATGACCTGATATTTTGATGTGAATTTCGTGATATCATGGATAGGAATTATGTGATTTGAAAATTTATCAGTTCTGCTCGCCGTGAATAAATAAAACAATAACAATTGTTACAATTTCACGGCGAACAATGCTTTTCCTTTCAAATATACGCGCCGGGACGATAATTAAAAGAAACAAATCACCCAAGGCATCCTTATATAACAATCTACATTTATTAAATATTCAAATAAAAGGATTTATCGTAAATTGCAGCCAGTCTAAATTAAGGTATCGAAGAAAATTTCCTGAATATTTAACAAAATGTCTGTTTGGACGTTTTTTTCCTAATTATAAGAATCGTTTCGGGTGGTCTCTGTAAAGTATTTGAATCTTGTTTTCGGTGGTTAAGATTCAGGTTTGCATATAGCTATTGCAAGATCTTTATTTCGGTACTGCTATTAAGCATTTTATTCAGTTTTTATTGCGTTCAATTAAATGTTTTCTTTTTAGAACACAATGTGCGTAAAAATTGTTCGAACATTCTATATATGCAAGCGCTTTTGGCTATTTTATTAAACATTGTCAAGGAAATTTTAATTTCTAACTGAATATGTAAATATTTATATATGTTGATCTATAGTGATGGTATCGCTAATGCACTTATTTAGTATTGATGGCGTCATTATATATATATATATATATATATATATATATATATATATATATATATATATATTTAAACAGTGTACATTACATCTATTAACAGGCGTATTCGTGAAATCAAAACAAAGTGAATGCGCTCTTCGACAGGGATTGAACCCGAATCACACTTTGTAGAAAAAATACAGTTTGATACGGTGTGTTTTTCCACACGGTTATGAAGAGCGTCAGAGTTCAAGTAACGACTATAATAACGTTTGAAATAATTGCTGAAAACTCCTGATGAGTGGAACGAACAATTCCAACAACATTCGTCTATGAAAGTCTGAGTCGAAGTGTTGCATACAGCATCAATTAACTAAGTCTCAAATTTTATATTGTATTAGTTTTAATCATATATATATATATATATATATATATATATATATATATATATATATATATATATATATATATATATATATAGTGCTGTATTTATGGGATAAAGTGCTCAATAACAGAGATAGAGCTTATGAAAATATAAATATAAAAAGTGAACATTGAAGTCAACACTCAGAGGTGACAGGCTGCTTCATGCTAGACGCAATCAAACGCTGCCTGACGATTGCGTCTTCAATGTTCTCTTTCATATAAATATCTGTATCGATATCGAGGAAAATACTGCATGTTTTCCCAATGTAAGAATTTATATTCTGTTTTTTTTTTTTATAGTTAATGTTGGACATGCAATATCGCATGGGACATGAGAATTCTTAGACTATTTTAATTTTATACGGAATAGGGGTTTGAGGTTCTATGTTGTTTGTAACAATAAGATGAAATGTCTTAATAATAAATTATAGGTGTTTGTTTCTTAATATGTCAAGAGATTTCAATAACTGTATAAATATATTCACACAAATAAAATTCTTGATCATTACAACGTGCTCAGTTCATTAATGGAGGAAAGAAGAATTTATCTTAGGTGTTTGTTTCTTAATATGTCAAGAGATTTCAATAACTTTATAAATATATTCACACAAATAAAATTCTTGATCATTACAACATGCTCAGTTCATTAATGGAGGAAAGAAGAATTTATCTTAGGTGTTTGTTTCTTAATATGTCAAGAGATTTCAATAACTTTTTAAATATATTCACACAAATAAAATTCTTGATCATTTCAACGTGCTCAGTTCATTAATGTAGGAAAGAAGAATCTGTCTTAGGTGTTTGTTTCTTAATATGTCAAGAGATTTCAATAACTTTTTAAATATATTCACACAAATAAAATTCTTGATCATTACAACGTGCTCAGTTCATTAATGGAAGAAAGAAGAATTTATCTTAGGTGTTTGTTTCTTAATATGTCAAGAGATTTCAATAACTTTTTAAATATATTCACACAAATAAAATTCTTGATCATTACAACGTGCTCGGTTCATTAATGGAAGAAAGAAGAATTTATCTTAGGTGTTTGTTTTTTAATATGTCAAGAGATTTCAATAACTTTTTAAATATATTCACACAAATATAATTCTTGATCATTTCAACGTGCTCAGTTCATTAATGTAGGAAAGAAGAATTTGTCTTAGGTGTTTGTTTCTGAATATGTCAAGAGATTTCAATAACTTTTTAAATATATTCACACAAATAAAATTCTTGATCATTACAACGTGCTCAGTTCATTAATGGAGGAAAGAAGAATTTATCTTGTTACCTGGGGTTCCAGGGGCGCCAACTTTCATGGGTTCACAATAATCCTTTGTCTTGCGACAAAACTTGTTTAAGGTGTTCACCTGGAAAAAAAATAAAAGTCATTATATATATATATATATATATATATATACATATATAGATGTATAAATCCACAGATTCATGTGCAAAGAAACATAAATACATTTTAGATAATTTGATGTGATATGATCTACGTGAATAAGATAACAATTTAGTGTTTAATCCTTAGTTAGGGGAAGAAAAGGCAGATTGATACCTTTCCCAAGAGTATTTATGCATATATGTGAATATAACTGATATTGGAGCTCGGCTCTCTGCTCTTTGGAGTTATTATCCTTCGCTACATCCGCACATCCCAGCTTACAACGCCTGATATTCTGAAGCGGTCACCTATCTATGTACTGACCAGGCTCGACGTTGTTTAACTTCGGTGATCGAACGGGGAGTGATGTTTCAACGTAATGTAGCCTTAAGCCTTTTAAAATGTAAATGTCAGTTAATGAGAGAGAGAAAAGAGAAAGAGAGAAAAAGAGAGAGAGAGAGAGACTGACAAACAGAGAGAGAGAGAGAGAAATAGAAAGATTGCTCCAATTAATTTGACCGACATATTTCCGACGTAAAGTCCAGTATAGAAATATAGAAATTAAATGAAATCTCGATATTTATAATTGATTTTTAAAATAATTCAGCATCACTTACAAGTTAAGAGCGGTAGTTATTGTAGGGCCTTACTGTAACGCATTAATGCCTAAAATGGGACGGTGTAAATTCCTCGTTTTCCATGTAACGTGTACCATTAGCACTTTGGTGACCATGGCTCTTCACAATTTCCTGTCTTTCGTAGCTCATAATAAATTTTGTGTTGTTGTTTTCTATTCTAAATCTTCCTCTGTCATCAATTTACTTGAGCTCATTTTGTTGTTGTTCTCTATCCCACATAGCTTTAATCGGTCCTGTAAGTATCAAAATTTCCAAGCCGTCATTTCTTCTAGAGATTTTCATCTGTCCCTTGCGGATGCTAAGTATATGAGTCCCTTTTGTCTCCATATTTTTAAAAGATTGTAGTTGCTTACATGTTTGGTTCATGTTATTCTCAGCATCATTGTGTAGAACCATATTTCTGTTACTTCTTGTCTCTTCTTCATCGTTGGAGAGTTTGTCTAGTATTCATTGTCATATATGAGGACTGATATTGCCTCAAAGTTCAACACTCTTCTTTATTTTACTGTATTTATGTATGTAGTGTTTAAAGTAAATCAGTCTACTACAAAATATTATGAAACCAATTTCGTTATAGCGAAAAAGAATTAATCTTTCTTCTATGTGTCGTGTCCCTTCAGAGCGATGGCCATCATAGATCTCCACAATTTTTTGTCCTTTGTAGCTTTTGTCTTTTTGTTATTTCTTGCTCTGCCATTGCTCAACTTCACTAGTGAGGTTATACGTTGTTTTCCTCTGCCCTCCTTGCTTTTGTGAGTAACAAATTTTCCAAGTACCCTTTCAAAAAAAAAAAAAAAAATTCAACTATCTCTTTCTGATCTCAAGTATAAATGCCCCTTTTGTTTCTATTTTCTCTGGAACTTTGTATTCTCAGCATACAACAAATTTACAAACTTTAATATTGTCTTCACGCTTTTTCTTGTGCAATATCAATGTATTTTGTTACATTTTCTTAGTATTATTTCGAAATAATTTGATTGGATGCAAAAAGCAAAGGCTATTGTTACTCAAAATCATGATATATTGTTGGGAGGGTGAAAGAAGATTCTGGCCTTTCGACTGCCAGCTTGAATGTAATCCTCTAAGTCAAAACGGTAATTCTTATTTATTAACCTGATAGGGAAAACGACAGGGAACATTTAATGATATAAGACATCTCCCGACACTATTGATTTTAGTACTTTAAAAAATAACCATTGTTCTAGAAACAGCCATCACTATTCATTTTATTTTTCGTCACAAATTACAGAATGTGTCTATTTTGCAAAGAGGAATTAAGAATCTACGCTGGGGTGCTAAAATTTCTTCGGTTCGTCGAAGAAACTGTACAAAATAAATAAATAAAGACAATTAAAATTCCGACGTTTAGGAATTCGTTCAGATTTTGAGAAGTGGGTGTTGCCAAGAACTTCTCAGAATGTAGTATTTCTCTTAGAATATTTTCCTTGACGAAAACATATCGGGCTTCTACTATTTATTTATTTATTTTTTTTACTAACTTGATACGAGTTTCAAATACACATACCTGATGTATCTTGGCAGGTCTTGCCACATCACAATGTAATGCATTTGGTGCTGGTGATTCTTAAATTTCCTATATTTTCTTTCTCAACTTGTTCAAATATTTCAATGCTTCAAAACTGAATATGGCATTTTGGTCAGGTCTAAATTTAGAATACCATTATTCTGTGCAACAAAGGCGACTATTAGAGAGAAACTGACAAGATGCGAAGTTGGAACGAGACATACGCTTTCAAGGTTTAATAAATACAGAGTGACAGCCATTAGGCTCCCGTGAGAAGTAAACTAATAAAGTTTAGATTTGGGTTGGCCGCGCAATGCAGAAAATGATTTTTTTTTTGCTCAGCGTCCAACGTGTTCACAAAACTACGATCCGAAATTCTACAAACTATTAATAATAAACATTCGAACAATGAAAACGCCTTTGTAGCAGTGAGAATGCATTAAGAACTGAAATAATGTCCTGACAAGCGAATTCTATCAGACGTATAGAATAAAAATAAATACATTCCCTAAAAAAATGACTACGATATTGACTAATCTACTCTGTGACGAATTTAAAATGTCCTGATACCGAAAAAGTACCATACCAAATAAGTGCATTTTTTTTCATAAAAAAATGTAAAAGTAAGAGTTATTTTTTTTCTATAGGTGAACTGTTAAAATTTACTCTATTAAAACACAGAAGAAAAATGACCAGCTTACTTTAACATATACTCTAACCATGTCTTACTTTCACGTACATCTGTTAAATACATATATATATATATATATATATATATATATATATATATATATATATATATATATATATATATATATATATATATATATATATATATATATATATATATATATATATATATATATATATATATATATATATATATATATATATATATATACAAATATAAAAGTTCGAAGAATAATATTTCAACCTTCAAAACATTAATTTAAAACAGGGATCGATGCAAAAATAGAGCAACGAATATTTATTATACATTGTTACATTAGAGCATGTAAATATTCACAACGATATTGTACATTTTGTTTCAACGTTAAAATCAAACGTTTCTTCAGGTGGCTAACATTGATGGTACTATACGATTTTATTCAAAATTTTGATTAATGAAATACTACTTCATTTTCCATTTTTGTACAATTTCCATAAAAGGTAAAAAGGACTTATATAAAAAAAGGAAAGAAGATGAGAAATCAATTAAAAAAAAGAAAGAGGAAAGAAGACGAAAAAGAAAAAGAAAAGAAAATCAAGAGAAATAATAGGAAATTAGCCCTACTACCAAAAGGAAAGACAAAAAAGAAAGTCAAGAAAAATAAAAAAGTATATTTCAAAATTACCTAGATTCAAAAAAGAGGAAAGTTAAGAAGATAAGAAATAGAAAGATTTTGATACGAATTAAACCAATTAAATTCTGTTAAATCAGAGAATTCAAATTTGAACGGAAACACGGCTTGAATGGATACACTGTATCGATATGCCGCATTTACAATTATATGGCATTTGTGTATGAAGTCATATATTCAAAGAAAATTATCATCATAATGTAAAAAGGGACACTTTATAGAGTAATACAATACTTAACAAAACCAAATTTACAATATAAATTAGAATACATAATACATTTTAAACTTTTATATTATATTAATTACAAAGCATTATTAAAAAGACAGAGAAAAAATATATATATATATATATATATATATATATATATATATATATATATATATATATATATATATATATATAAAAAACAAAACAGAAAGAAACAAGAGCACTTTAAAAAAACGGCATTATTTAAGTCTAGGTCATGGTCGGACTTATAACGATGACCAACTGCAACATTGAGTAGATTGTTTCGTAAAAGATCTCATTTGTGTTTGTATATTCATTTACTAATATGCATAGATTGTTTTCCGGACGTGATATTCTTGAGATATTTACGGTCTACACTGTAGATACTTGCTTCATGTTTTAAGTTATTAATTTTGTTTTGCATTACTTGTTGCAAATTCTGTATTGAGTTCAAACGAATCATTTGCACTGATAGTTATCAACTGTTTCAACAATTTACGAATCTTTTTCGTAGACTAGCACAAGTACGCAAATGCTTATTGTGGAAACTTGTCATCTTGAATTGTTCAGTTGAATGGCAGAGAGCAACGAGATCAGACGTATGGACGCTACAATTAACGCCTGCGTTAGGTGCCCAAATAGGCAGGCAGTGCAGAAGTGGTTTTAAGAGCAAGAGAAAAAAAAAAACTTTTCAGACGGGATCATGAACCCCGTTACACGATAGCAGAGGTGCATCGTCTTGAAGGTGGACCTTTTTCTTCATCAGCGGAAATAAATGTGTTGTATGGAATTTGCCCTTAACTTTTGCTTTATTATAATATATTATCTATGAAGTACATTATTTTTTGCGTACATCCTGACATATATTTATTTGAGCGATTGGATTCGAATTAACAAAAGTAACATCTCTGCTTATGGTTAAATCGAACCACGCCGCATTGGGAAAGCGTGTAACAAATATTTATATTATTATTATTATTATTAATGTTGTTGTTGTGCTTTTATTATTATTATTATTATTATTATTGTTATTATTATTTCAGTTATTATGAGTCATATGAAATATGTATATAACTCTCATTATTTTTTTTACTCCTATGGTATATGCATAATTCAAAATAGCCTCTTCTGTGGTGAAATATATTTTTCAATGTGGGTTGCTTCTATTGAATAATTAAGGTTTCTAGAATGTTGATTATATATATATATATATATATATATATATATATATATATATATATATATATATATATATATATATATGTGTGTGTGTGTGTGTGTGTGTGTGAAAATAAAAAGAAAGAACATTCAGATTTATAATCCAAAGTTCTTTAACATTTATTTTTAAAAACAGTGCTCGATACACAACAGAGCATAATATTATATATATATATTATGTATATGTGTCACGATGAATGCATATTTTGAAAAATAATTATTAAACATATGCGTGTGTGTGTACGTACTTTTATGCGTGTTTTGTGCGTATGTGTATGCTTTCGTGTGTTTTAAATAAGAGGGTGTCCAAACGTTCTGGGACCGACTAAAGTTCTCTTCACCAAAATAATCATCAGGTATTTGGCATGCATATCTGACCTAGAAGTTTTCATCACCCACTCATGC